CACCATTAATTCATGGCATTTGTAGCACACGAATGACGTGTTAATGGTGATTAATTAGCCATTAACATGTTCGTTATGCTACGCTCCATTTAATATTTGTCCCGAATAATTGGAGATTAATGGCGAGTTAACTCCGTAAAAATGGACTAATTTTAAACAATACGTAAAATTAATAATAGAAGATTGGTTCAGTAAAATTGCAAAATTGCAATCTTTACCATATTCTTCAATTGACGGATTAACTCTGAGAATCAATTTCTCATTCATCCTCTACCATTTTTGGCGTATAAATTAACAAAACATTTATCTCATTTAAGAGAACACACGTCTATTAATTAACGGTTAAAACCGTTAGTGGACCTATTGACAAATATACCCAAGTTGGTCCATTTAATGCCTATTAAAAATGCCAAAAAATTCCAACATTTTGGTATTGAATTTCCAAAAATGTCCTTTGATGTGATGAGTAAAAGTATAATTTGATGGATATATTATTAGTAAAAAGGTATGATGTGATAGGTATGGTATGAAAAAGTAAGGGGTAAAAGTGACTTTTTAATAGAAATGAAAAGTGTTTTTTGGGACGAATGAAAAAAGAAAGAAGAAAGGTTTTCTGGGACGGAGGAAGTATATATGTATGTATATATATACATGCCTTAATTACCAACAGGTATTGGATAATGACTGATTATACAAATGACTCTACGAGTTGAATATGGTCATTAGAAACAAGTGTTGATTAATGACTGACTATTTCAATGACAATTTAAGGGCCAATAGCGCTGATACCCCTCGTGGTTTGCAAAATAAGTACCAATACCCCTTCTGTTTTCAAAACTCATTTCTAAAGTCCCTGTGGTTTCAAAATGTTGCACCCATGCCCCCTCTGATCATTTTCTGGCCATTTTTCTGGTGAAGAAGGGGGACAATGGTGCATATTTTTTAAACCATAGGGGGTATCAGTGCTGATTTTTATTTCTTGCATATTTTTTGTTCTTTCCATTTTTTCCTTATTTTGTTTCATTTATTAATAAAGGTTTTTTTTAAAAAATTATTTTTATAATGTTCTTAAAATTTAAAGTTATTTTTGTTTGAAAAAATAACATATAATGCATATGTACTTCTCAAATTAACAATTTTTTTTTTCTGAAAAAAAGTAATTTTTTTTAAGAACTTCAAAAAAATGAGGAATAAAATAAGAAACAAATTAATACAAAAATAAAAATGAATATCCTTTTTGGACATGTTAATTCTATGGACTTTTTTAGGCGTGTCTAATTTTTTTTGTATAAGACTTTTTTTGCGTATTTTAATTTTTTTCATTTCGTTTTTCCATATATTTATTTTTTTATTCTTTTTTTTTTTAAATTTTCAAAAAAATATTCTAAGTAACAAAGAGTGAAAATGTTTAATTTGAGATAGATGTAATATATGTTAATTTTTTTTTTAATTTTCATTTCAAACACAAAGAATTTGAAAATTTTTGAAACATTATAAAAAATTGAAAATATATTTAAAAAAATCTAGGAAAAGGAAAAAGAGATAGAAAATATTTTTAAAAAAGGGAAGAATAATAAACGAAAATAAGAAATGAGCACGAATGCCCCTTATGGTTTAAAAATTATGCGCCAATGCCCCCTCTTCGCCGGAAAATGACCGGAAAATGATCAGAGGGGGTGTGGGTGCAACGTTTTGAAACCACGGGGACTTTAGAAAAAAGTTTTGAAAACAGATGGGATATTGGTGCCAATTTTCCAAACCACAGGGGGTAACGGACCTATTTGGCCGACAATTTAAATTGTTTTTTAATAATATCTTATACTATTTGAATTGTGTAAATTGAAATGTCATTCTTTTATAATGAGTTGAAGTTTTTTAGTAGACTTTTCAGTAGATTCGATCTTTTATAGTCGTTTTGGATGCTTATCATTTTTTCGGGTTATTAACAAAGCACTCGCATCTTCAAAGGCAGTGTTTCACTAGATTCATTGCCAAACATTAGAATAAATAGGGCCGGCCCGATTTGGATAAAAGTGATATATTTAAGTCACATTTGCGTAAATTACTCGAATAGTTAATATGGAATACGGGGGTGGGGTGTACATTTATATATATGGGCCTTATTTGACAACAACTTTTTCGACTAACTTTAGCATTTTAGATAAAATTTTATTGATACATATTAATTCTGAAAACATAAACACTAAAAACTGTCGTTGAATAATTTCTTTTAATCCTAATGCTAATCTCTAATACTGATGTCAAACGGGGCCAAAACGTAGGGAGGTGGTGACGAGGAGTGTGGTGGGGAGGAAGCACATGAAATGTCCGGACATAACAAGGCAATTGATGTCGTGGCAATATATGCTTTTTTTACTTCTTTTTTTATTCTCTTTTAATTTATTTTTTTGTTATCTTTCAGTTCGATATATCGTTGGCACTTTGCATGCATCTTACTAATTATTTAGCTAGCTAGCTAGGCTAGCTATATATATGGAGTAGATTATAGGTCCGTTTAATTAACAACTCATTCAGCCTTTTGTTTTCAATTTGAAAAAAATTCATCTAAATATCTAATGATGATAGTATTTAGTTTAGCTTTTTTCTTTAATAATTGATATCATTAAAAAGTAATTCAAAACCATTACAATATCGTTAAAAATTGATTCAAAACGATGATGATAATTTATGCAAGCTAAGTACTCCGTATTAATTTAACACATCAAATAAAAGTAATAACTTAAAATAGTTCGAAAGCTAAACCATCTCGAGTCACAAAATTAAGTCTCGAAAAAATAAAGGGGTTTGTAGCATGCATGCTATAAATTAAGTCTTGAAAAATAAAGGGGTTTGGATATATTACACACTTTATTCCAAAATTAGAAATGTGTTGAAAGAGTAAAAAATGAATTGAAAGAAGTATTTTTTTAAAATGAATGGGTCTGTAGCATACATGCTATACATGCAAATATAAATTTATGCATAATATACTGCTCCGTATATATTACAAGTGCAATGTTCCATTGACATTGGCTTCTAGTATCATCAGATGATACTCACTCATTTAGAGCTCTTCCGCGCAGCTCTATTTCTAAAACGGTCAAAAGTTCATGATTTCTACCCCTCCTAACCTCCTGTCTAAACTCCCTACCGCACTCACACCCCACTTCAGCCCGATCCCTGCGCTCCCGCCATAGACCCTCCTTTCACTACGATACCTCAAAATGTGTTGCTATCATGCAATGCATAATAGCCACACATTTATAGGGGGCTTAGGGTGGGGCAGGGGTGAGGGTTTAGGGGTGAGTTAAGGGAGGCTAGGTAAGAATAATCAAATTTGCAAACGAAACATTAGAGGTGCTCTAAAAATATAATGACACTGCCAATAGCATCGTTGGCGAGTGTCAACGAAACCGTGTCAACGGAACACTAGAGTTATGGATGATTCATGAAAAAATAATTCATATACGGAGTATATGGCATGTCATGAGTAGGAGGTAGGCATGCATATATCTAGCTAGCTCATTGATCCAATTGGTTGTCAAGCTAATAAGTTAATCATAGATCTAGCTAGCTAGCTACATTTTGGATGTTCTTTCATACGGAGAGTGTAGGGTATCTAAACACACACACACACAGATATGTGTGTAGGGGCGAATCCAGAAATTAAACGGAGTGGAGTTAGTTTTCAATTCTATGGTTTAAACTCATTCCTAATTTTATAATTAAAATTAATTTTATAGTTAACCACACACAGTCGCATTCGCGCACCCACACGCATGCAAGTCATGACGTGTTAAGTCAGACAGGCGACGGCGGAGACAGAGGAGTCATTTCTTTTCTCCTTCTCAAATTGTTTTAGAATACAATTCAATGTTAACATATAAATAGTGGAATATGAAAGGTTTCTAATCTGGTGTAGGATACATGGATTTTTGTACCCTCCTACTCTTTACATGTGTTTGAGTTTGTAAATTGAATTCTCATTCAACTAGGCATCATTTTTTACGCACAATATATCAAAATACTCACCTCAGTTTGAATATTAATTGTTCATGATTCTTTTTAGGAAATAATTTAGTGGACCCCACTAGGTCCAAAGTTGTCAGTTATGAGCCAAAATATATACCAACAAGGGTTACATGAGTATAAATAATACAGAGAATAGATAAATAATCATAATAAAGTAAAATAATAAATTATAATAACAATATAATAAGAAAAATATATTATCAACAATATCCATTATTATCAAAGAAAATTTACCTATATAGTACTAAAATATATTGAGTTCCCAATGTAGTACCATTGTTCGATATCTACTGGATATTGTTCAAGTAAATATCTACCGTCACTTGACATTATTCAAGTAAATGTTCACCTTTATTGGACATTGTTTAAGTAATATTGAGAAAATAAAAAGTTTTAGGTGTTACATTGGAAAAAGGATATATATTTTAGTATTATTTAATTAAAATTCACTCATTATGAAATTGCATCAAGGCTTAATTAAACTATATTATAGTTTGTCTACATTGTAATCGAGTCAATAATACTCAAAAAAATTATACTCCATACTGCAGAGTAAATTGAGTAGTAAAAAAGCTCAATCCTTGTCCAAAAAAGTTAAAAAAATATTTATCCTAGTAAAAGAAAATTTTTTATTTTGCTTATATAAAAGTTCACCATTGACTTTAAGTCTAACAACAATTTGACAAAGACATGAGAATCTGTTGTGGCCATTTGGAATTTCAAAATTAATCCTAAAAAATAAAAAACTAAAAACTAAACAATTACATTGAACAAAGCGAATATAGTTTTTCAATAGAATTTTAATTACAATATAAAATGAATGTAATTAAAATTAATTTGAATAAAATGCCAAGTGAGGTGGATATGTATAATACCGTAAAAAATGTTTGGATTCCACCACATGAATGTTGCTATGGGTGAACTTATGCTTCGCACATATGATTACAATTTGTATTATAGTGTTATCTAAGGAATGTTGGTATATACATGATAACATCCTTGTGCGTGGCACCCTAGCATACCCACCTAATTTTCTCAAGAGAATCTAGCGGAGTGGCGTTTTGTGGAAAGCCAAGTAACCAACCACTCTTTATTCATTTTTTTTGACAATCTTTAATTAATTACTGCAATAAACCAACCCCACTTCTCCATCAAGATTCAAGAAAATCCATTTATTAAAAAAAAAAAAGAAACTGCCCATCTCCGCATTATACAGTCTGGAAGAGAGCAGTTAATCTCCCTCCATTGTACATGGTCTACTCCCCTTTCTTGAATCTCACCGAACATGGAGAAGCAGAAGAGTTTCTCAATCAAGCGCGCAAGATTCATGGTTTTTACACTCACAATCGGCCTAACTCTGCTCTTCCTTGTCTTCTTCTCCGTCTGGTTCATAAAGCTCTCTCCTTTCCCCCAAGAAACCCATTTCCAGTTGAAGAGCGCCGCCTCCTTGCCCTTCGCAGTTCAAGAAAAGGGAAACAAGAGTGAAGCCGCCGCAGCTGGTGAGGTAAATGGAAATCTCAGTTTTGGTGCAGCTTATTTTTCTTCAATTGTTGTGAATGATGGGGTTCTTCCTGATGCCCGTGTGTTGGAATTTGGGAATTCATCTGATTTTTCGGTAAATCCGTCTGGAGATGTCAAAGAAAAAGACCATACATCATCTATTAGTGATTCAGTCAAGACATTGGGTGTGACTGAGAAGAAGATGGAGATGATCAATGGAGGGGTGGTGTGTGATGTGGCGAATGGAAAATGGGTGTTTGATGAGAGTTACCACCCATTGTACTCAGATGTTTCATGTCCATTTATCGACGAAGGGTTTAGTTGTCAATCTAATGGAAGAACAGATCAAGAGTACTTGAAATGGAGCTGGCAACCCCGCGATTGCAGCATTCCGAGGTAAAGAGGTAAAGTCTTATTGGGCAGTATCGGGAAAGCTTGAGGTTTTAGTTGGTTTGATTCTTAGGATTCTATCAGAGCCTTGTTGACTATCGAGCTTTTGGTTGACTTGGTTGCTTAATAACGTAAAGAACATTCTACCAGTTTTCTGCTTCAATATGTTCCTAATGTTAAAGTTACTTGTAGGTTTAATGCTACCCATATGTTGGAATTGATGAGAGGGAAGAGGCTAGTATTTGTTGGAGATTCCATTAATAGGAACCAGTGGGAATCTATGCTGTGCTTGTTGATGGGAGCCATCAAAGACCAAAAGAAGGTTTATGAGACACGCGGGCGAAGAATAACCAAGGGGAAGGGAGATTATAGCTTCAAGTTCGTGGTAAGCATCATCGAGTCATAATTCGATGTTAAATGTTTCGCCTATTCTTTTCAAATTAGGACGATTTATTATTCGCTTAAAATAAAAATGTCCAGGACTATAAATGCACGGTTGAGTTCTACGTGACACATTTTTTGGTGCGCGAGAGTAAGGTGAGGATGGGGAGGAAACGAAGGCAGACATTGCGTATTGATGCGATTGATAAGGGATCGTCCAGATGGAGGGGTGCTGATATTCTGGTCTTCAACACTGCTCATTGGTGGTCTCATCACAAAACCAAAGCAGGGTAGGCTTATTACCTTTTCTTTCTCAGTTTTGTGAGTGCTCTTAACGTGAGAAATGCGAATGGTGCATTTTTTCGTCCATCATGATGCACATTTATATTATGGCAGTACATTTTTGCAGTTGCATAAAAGTTCGAGTTATGTACTAAAATGCCACCGCGTTTTTCCAGATTTCTTCTTGTTTTTCTAATGTTTATGGCCCTTAGGTCTTACACTATAGTGCACCAAATGCATTCTCATTTCTTTCTATAGATCCCATTCTTACTGTATCCAAAACTTATGATAAAAAAAACAGGAGGTATTATTACCAGGAAGGGGATCAAGTTCATGGGCACCTTGATGTTTCAACAGCTTACAGAAGAGCACTGATGACATGGGCATCCTGGGTTGACACAAACATAAATCCTGCAAAGACCCGAGTATTCTTCAGAACTTCTTCGCCTTCTCATTTCAATGGTGGACAATGGAACAGTGGCGGGCATTGCAGAGAAGCTTCTCGGCCTCTCAGAGAAGAGAGTTATATCAGCAGTTATTCTGAGAAGAATGTGATAGTGGAAGAGGTCATAAGGGGGATGAGATCTCCGGTGACTGTTTTGAACGTGACCGGTTTGTCAGGTTATAGGATTGACGGTCATCCGTCCGTATACGGAAGAAGACCCACGGGTGGAATCAATTCTTCTTCTGCTGGTGTCCAAGATTGCAGCCATTGGTGCCTCCCTGGGGTTCCTGATACTTGGAACCAAATCTTGTATTACTACTTGCAAGTTGCAACTTCGTCAATAGCGTAGAATGTAATTGACCATTGGATCATCATCAGCTTAGTTATTGTTATTCTTTCTTTCTTTCTCCAATTCTCTTTCTTTGTTCATTGTATGTTTTTTGCAGATTAAAGAGCAGTGTTTCCCCTTAAAATGCCATTAAACAAATGCAATCTAGATGTTTTTTTAACAATTTTTTTACAAAAATAAGGGTCTATTTGGTACACGAAATTGACAGAATTTAAATTGAATTTGAAATTAAAATTCTATGGAATTGGTTTGAGTGAAATTGAATTCTCCAATTCACGTATTTTTGTGCTACCAAACACTGGAATTGGAACTATTGTCCTCAATTCCAATTCTATAGTTTGAATTTTGTGTACCAAACAGAGCTTTAAAAAATTTGAAACCAATAATGTACGGAACATTAAGGGCAATTTGGTTGTATGTGTGTGTGTAATATGATAACTGTACCAAACAGAAATCATGCATAAACAATACTTGGTGAGAAACAGAGAAGGAATACAACTATAGAGGCTGCATTAACTTGCACACTATGGTACACCCAAAAGCCTAAAAAGGCAAAACCTAAGCAGGATCAACATTACATTTTCCAATGTGAAGAGGGAAAGGGAAGAGGCATCAAAATAAACATATATACAGCTCTAAACCAACAGTTGAATTGACTGAAAAATGGTTCTCTACCAGGGATGACCTGATCCAATAATAAACCAACCACCCACAATCCATCGGCGCAAAACACAAAAAAATACCAATTGTTCAGGTATCACAAGAATGGTCAGTCATCTTATCTTCCTTCATGCAGGTCTTCAGAAAATACCTCTGTATGAGATATATCCATTTCAAAGGCACTCAAACCAGAGTATGGACCAGAAGAGAACATTGAGGATGTGCCATCTGATTCAAAAGCTGTGGAAGATTGCCTAATGTTGGGCCTAGGGTTGGCGGTGTTTGCAGCAGAATCATGATGATACTCAGTTAGGCGTTGCACCATCTTTAGCGATTGCACAACCTCCCCCATTGTGGGCCGTTGATTCGCCTCTGGAGCAACGCAAGCTGCAGCAATTGTGCAGACCCTCACAAAATCTTCCTTTGGGTATTTCCCCTCAAGCCGTGGATCAACAAGTTCTTCCAGTCTATCCTTGTCTCTTAGGATTGGCCGGGCCTGAAACAATTCTCTTAATTATGATCACCATATATTAGGATTTGATTTTTTTGAGGAAAATATTTCTCACGTATTTTCTTTCCCCCCTATTTCCCAGGTTCCAAACGGACCGTAGAGAATTGAGAGAATGATTTTCTAGTAAGGAAAATATCATACGGTGCCAAAATCAGGAAAATCATTCCTGGATATTGTTTACTTGTGCCAAACACAGGAAAACAAGAATATATCTTTCAGTAAAATATCTTCCTACAAACAACGGAGCCTGAGTACAACTACTACAGCAAAACCAAAACAAGATCAAATGAAAGCCAACTATATATTTCACAACATACCCAAGTAACAAGATTCTCCTGTCCTGATGGTTGTGACATATCCACAGGCTTCCTTCCAGTCAGCAACTCGAGGAGGACAACTCCATAACTATAGACATCACTTTTTACCAGTAGGTGCCCTGTCATAGCATATTCAGGGGCTACATACCTGCAGAGCTTTCCCCAATTTAGTCCATGTAACCCTTCCCCATGGAGGTTTATTAATTACACCACGTCCCCAGTTTCACAGAGTTTAAAAAATTGAAAATAGTGTGAAAGGCATGAAAAATATGAAATGCACATTTTTTTTCATTTAAAATGGAAAAAGATTACTCCGTATTATTTTAAAGAAATGGGGATGGAGTATTAATTACTCCGTATAAAAAAGGTAAAAGAAGAAACTGACCCAAATGTGCCCATAACACGGGTAGACAGATAATTTGCTCGGCCTTCGGGGGCTTGTTTGGCAAGGCCAAAATCAGCAACTTTAGCATGAAAATTATTCTCGAGCAAAATATTGGATGCTTTGAAATCCCTGTGGATAACACAAGGTTGGGAGTCCTCGTGCAGATAAGCAAGTCCTCTTGCAGCATCAAGCGCAATCTTCATTCTAATGTCCCATTCTAGAGGGCAATTTGCCCCCAACGGACCTGCACTAAACCAGTACTATTGTCAAATTAATCAACCACATCATTTTTTATGATTAATGAGCTGCGATGGTTCTACATAACATCTTTAAACATGTTTCAGGAAAAAAACTATATACTGCAGAAAAGGCAATCTGAAGTGTGGCACGCTGAAAAACATTGGAAATGAAACACTGAGAAATGTATCTATATATAAAATAAAAGGGTATTTGTGCAGATAATTTTCTTCAAATGTATAACAACATTGATTAATCTTCATCTCTATAATTTTAAAAGAAATAATAACAAACTATACAGTTATTATACTAAAAAACATGAGGTGAAATATATAATTCTCATAAACTCTTCAAATCTAGAATATTTCTGCTAATGGAAATCACTTGAGAGTATTTTTGCAGTCTAGGTATCGAGGAAGGAATTGCTCATAAAGAAACACAATTTTGAAACATTTCTTTATTTACATAAACTGTACCAAAATGTTTCATCATTTATGTAAATAGCCTGAAACATTTTGATACGGAAATATATGTTTTTGTAACAGAAATAGTCCAATGTGTGAAAATGCTAACCTCCAAGAATGTCCAAACATCATAGGGAATAGGTATAGGAATATACATAGGAAATGAATATAGCAACATACATACAATATACCCATTGTGTTAATGATAGAATCTAGGACCCAAAAAACTTGCCGTGAAGCCAAGCTTCCAAGCTTCCATTAGGAACAAGCTCATAACATAGTAGGTTCTGTGAAGAATCAACACTGCTGTAGTAACCGACAAGCTTCACAAGATTTCGGTGGTGCAGTCTACTAAGCATCTCAACTTCCACTAGAAATTCTTTATCCCCTTGCTGTCCTCCAGTACTGAGTCTTTTGATAGCTACAGCAGTACCATCACTTAATACACCCTTGAACACCCTACCAAACCCGCCCTCTCCAAGGACACTAGAGGGTGCAAAGTTAGCTGTTGCTTCTTTCAATTCTTCATATGCAAGATGCCGTGTACTTGTAGGATGCGCAAAGGATGCTACAGTTTGGACTGAATCTACCCTGCCAGTCTTCACTGTTATTGAAGAGAACAAGTGAAATGAAACCCAAAAAAAAAGTTAGCAATCACAAAAATTGTTTGTTGGTGAAGGGTTCCCCCCCCCAAACCTACCCACAAAATAAGTGTTATATCAGTTTATAGAGCAAAAAAGAAAAATATAAATCTATCTCAAGCACTTTGAATCCAGAACGCGTCTTTCTAACTATAAAATCTGACTAGTGGATGCTCCCAATTCAGATACACTTAAATGATTTGAGAACAAATTCAGATTTGAGAACACTTTGATCTTTCAAACAGCTTTTGATATGAAAAAACGTGATAGTAGAACAAGCTTTGGTCACTTTTGCAAATGAGCATGATGAAAACAACAACAATTTTGAAATGATGCAGCCAATTGCATACCTGTCTCTTTGGCCAATCTTTTCTTCTTTCCTCGCTTATAAGCACAGGCATAAAGTATGAGCATGGACATGACCACAACAATCAATATGCCCGCAACAATTCCAGTAATAAGAATCATGTTTGAGTGGTACCCCTTATGTGCAGAGCTGGGTGGGGCTGGTGTAGAAGGTCGGCTAGGATTTACAGTCATTGGTGGCGACATAGCAGAAGGGGCTGCAGAAAATACACGAGTCAAATCAAAATTATGTATTAAAAACATTTCATAAGATACATCCAAACTATATAGTGTGTTCTCGGCTCATAACGTTTTGTAGATAAAACTTAATGTGCAAGTCATATATGAGAAATTACCTTGGGACGAGACAGGAGCCCTAAACCAGGTCATATTGAGAAGCCTATAACCACCTACTAGTGCAGGGTTTAGACGGACACTATTCAATGAGGAGTTTATTCTAGTGACTTCATCTGAGGAGAAACTGACTCCCTTGTATGGTGTGATGTCCATTGAGATATTAAGTTTTGATAAATCAATAAGATAAAAGTTGATTAGCTCAATTTGAGATGTCTTCAAACCC